CACCAGCCTGTGCGATCACGAGGTGTTGAAGGGATCAGGTATCAGGCATCATCAGAACAAAAAATCTTACCATAGTGGGGAGCGGAGAGGGAGGGGAAAAATGAGGACCTAATGCCGGCGGCTTAAGCGGAGAGCAAATGTTTTTAGAATGTTGAGGGCAATGAGTGTACAAATGTGCTTTATACAATTGATGTATGTATGGCTTATGATAAGAGTTGTATGATCCTCTAAGAAGACGATTAAAAAAAAAAGTCCTGATAAAATCAAGGTGTACCAAGCTATCTGTTTAAATTTAGAAATCAAAATATAGTGACATCTAGATCTAAATTTTTGCCAGTTCTAGGAACTTGTTTTATGTTTGGACATTTGTTTGTGTTGATTATTCTTCAGGTCCTTCACAGGGTGGTCCAGGTCCTCAGTATCCCAACTATTCACAAGGACAAGGTCAACAGTATGGGGGATATAGACCAACACAGCCTGGACCACCACAACCGCCCCAACAGAGGCCTTATGGATACGACCAGGTAAGTTATCCAGTTGTCTTGTGAGATTAAGGGCCTGTTCACTCCTGATTAGGTTAAATATTTTTTCATGGAGGCCTTACTTTCTCCCCATGAAGCATGAGTTAAAATAGAAAGTCCATTGCGGTGTTGGCATAGTCCGTCAGTGTTTCTCTAACATGTAAATGTGCATCATCTCTAAACGCCAGCATTTATCTTCTCCTTCTCTCTCTCTTGGTCTCTCAATCTTGTCTTCATTCCTCAGACTATTCCCACAACGATTCTAAGCATCATTCTCTCTCCTAAAGCCCCCAGTTTCTCAGTTTTATTTGGTTTACTGTTAGAGACTGTGCCTTAAGTTATAGAAACATGGAGTCGATCCTGTTCTAATGCTCTTACTGGCACGCATCTTCATTTCACCATGTTTGCCACACTTCCTTGCTATCTGTGATAACCCACTTCTTTAAATTCACATTTCATCTTTCTCTTACACTGCCTTCCGTACACATAAGTACTACCTCAAGTATTAATCTCTCTCCCCTATTATCATTCTTTTAAAATATGGAGAGATGAATTTCATCCTAAGACAACCATATTTAACCATGACAGAGTTCCGAGGGTTAGGAAAGGAGACAGGAAAGCAGGAAGCACAGGGAGGAAATGGAGGAAATTACGCTGGAGAATGCCATTAATGACCAGAAGCAAAATGTGTATCAATTGCTGAGTTTAAAACTGATCTGCTCTTTAAACCTCTCAATTCACAATAGAAAGAAACAAAAGACACCATTCATGAAAACAAAACCAAACCTTTTATCTTTTAATCCATTTTTCCATGAACTTTTGGAAACTCCCTCATAATGGTGTCACTACATTATCTGTGTAAACATTGCTGAATTGGTGTATAATGTGCTATGTATAGATTTATATAGTTTTTCAATTGCCTTGATTGTCTTCAGGATGGTTTCTGTCCTTAAAGAGCTCAACAGATGTTTGTGCATCCATAAGTGCATATAGTTAACTATGAGGTCACTGTGGGAGACTACTGATAATACAGTAAAGAGGCCTTTTCTGATTATTTCTGTCTAGTGCAGTAGGAAATACACTGGCAACTATCCAAACTCCATGACTTTTTATCCACAGCACAGCCCCACATTCCTGACAACTGGACTAAAATGATGGTGACCATAAAAGGAGAATGAAATCATGTATCTATCACCTCTGTTTAGTGCCAGCCACTGCTAGGTGTTTTCTAAGCACTGTTTGAAACTCTTCACAGTTTCCACATTGAAGTCAGGATAGAATCTAAGACCCTGAGGGTGATTTTTAAGAGCCTTGATCAGGCCCTGACATCTCTCTTCACTCTTAACCTCCTCTTCCCCAGGCTTACCATGAGTCCTTGGTAAATGCTGTGCTTTCTGACTAGACTGTCCTTTGCTCCTTCATTTCTACCTGGCTCGTGCTCCTAAAATACAACTATCCTTTGGATCTCATGCTCATGGTTCGTAATACTACTTACTACCCAAGGAATATTTTCTCTCAGTATTTACCACACTACAATATAATCATATGTCACCACATAGGCGTTTGCAAAGGTAGAATCCATGTCGACCCAATATATTTTCTATTTTTAGCATAGTACTGTAATTACTGCTCAGTAACCATTTGCTTAATGAATCAGGAGTTTAAAAATTAGGTTGATTTAGGAAGCAAAATGGTCAGTTGAGTCCAGATCATGCTGAAGTTGAGTGGATAACAGGAGATCCAAAGAGAGATCAGTTGGAAAAGGAAGCTGAAATTGGATTGAAAAATTAACTACCCCCCCAAAATAAATAAATAAATGAAGTACAGATTCTGAAAGTATAAGCCAGCATAACAAAAACAGACATGAAAAAAAACAGTATCAAGGATTAATATTTGGTAATAAAAAGAAGAGAAGCCAGTTAAAAAAAAGATCACAAGAAACACTTTTAGCTTGTTTTGTTATTAAGATTAAACTGACCTCATAGAATTCGGAAGAATTCTACCTTTTTAGTTTTATGGAAGAGTTTGTATAAAACTAGGATTCTTTCAAATATATTTAGGCCAGGAGTGTTCTTTATGGACAGGTTTTTAATTGAAACCTTAAGTTCTTTATTGACTACAGGGATATTTAGGCTTGTTTCTTTTTGAGTAAACTTTTCAAGGAATTTTGTTTGTGTTGCTGAATAATTTCCTTGTTATCCCTTTACTGTTTCTAGACTCAGTAGTGGTCTCATGCATCTCACTTCTCATACTGGTAATTTGTGTCTTCTTTCTCCTTTTAATCAATTGTCCTAAAGGTCTCAAAACACCAGCTTTTGGTTTTATGACACTTTCCTCTATTTGTTTGTTTGTTTATTTATTTCACTGATTTCTATTCTGATAATTAATTCTTTTCTTCTGCATGTTTTGGATTTCATTTCCTCTTTTCCAATTTAGAGTGGGAGCTGGAGACCTGTTGGTTCAAGATCTCCCTTTCTAATGCTAGTGTTTATTGCTATAAATTTCCTTCCAAGTGCACATTAATTTTTGAGTTGTTGAAAAAGTGGTAGTAGGGCTACTTTTTAAAAAAAATCATTTTATTGGAGGATCATACAACTCTTATCACAATCCATCCATACATACATTGTGTCATGCACATTTGTACATTTGTTGCCATCATCATTTTCAAAACATTTGCTTTCTACTTGAGCCCTTGGGATCAGCTCCTCATTTTCCCCCTCCTTCCCTGCCTCCCCTCCCTTATGAACCCTTGATAATCTATAAGTAGTTATTATTTTGTCATGTCTTGCACTGTCTGACATCTCCCTTCACCCACTGTTCTGTGGTCCATCCCCCAGGGAGGAGGTTTTATGTAAGTCCTTGTCATCGGTTTCCCCTTTCTAGCCCACCTTCCCTCCACCCTCCACCCTCCACTCTCACTACTGGTCCTGAGGGGTTCATCTGTCCTGGATTCCCTGTGTTTCCAGTTCCTATCTGTACCAGTCCACATCTTCTGGTCTAGAGTAGGGCTACTTTTGACCTCCTTTGGCTACACAAAGGAGAAGGAGATTTCTCCTTCCAACCCAAGGCTGATTGCCCCAAAGTAGAGGTCAGACATGCCTCTATTCTCTATCCCTGTTTTACCAACTCTTCGGACACCAACCATTCCTCCCAAGGCATTCTACTTCTCTGCTTGGTTAGACAATCCATTACAGTGGCCACACAGAACTCACAGACAATACTCATGCTTATGGGGGGTTAGTAGAGAATTTACCAGGCTTCCACAATCCAGGGTCAGAAAGCATTAAGGATAGGACCATTGGTCTACAGCAGAGACGTTTGCAGCTTGCAGGCCTGTCTCTTGTCAGGTTCCCTGCCTTCATGGACCAGGAAGCCCACCTGCCATTCTGTCCCACTGTCACACCATCTCAGTGGTGCTGCTCCTCTGCTCTGGTGCCTCTGCTGTCTCTGTCACTTCAAACGGATCTGATAACTCACTCCACTGGTGACTCATCTTTTCTGGTAGTCCTAGAATTCTTCCTGTCTTTGCTTCTGAGGCTCTCTTAGGACTAGTGGAATGGCAAACCTGACCAATCCCTGAGTTAGAATCCTCTACACCTTATTTTCATGATCTTACTCAAATCATTTGGTGGGAGTTAGAGAGAAAAGCCATGAGTAATTAATTTCATTTCACCACAGCTGTATTTTTATTTCCAGTCACTTCTAAATACATTCTGATTTCTCTTTAATTCTTTCTTTGACCCAAGAGTAGCTTGTTTTTCAGTTATCTGGAAATTTTACAGATATTTTTCAGTCACTGATTTCTAATTTAATTTATAATAAGAAAACATACTTAATAATTTGAATTTTTAACTTTTTGAGACATACTTTATAGTGTAGAATATGGCCTCTGTGGTAGTGTTCAATAATATCAATCAGATCAAGTTGGAGATAGTGTTTTCAAGTTTTTTTTTAATCTTCGCTGACTTTTCTTTGTAGTCCATTAGTTCTCGAGAAAGGGATGTTAAATCTCTGACAAGAACTGTGCATTTATCTACATTACTTGAAGTTCTATTTGTTTTTCTTCATGTGTTTTAAAGCTATGTTATTTGGTGTTTAAGTGGTTAGAATTTTTATGTTCTCTTAATGAATTATTCCTTTACCATTATAAAACACCACTCCTTAGTCTTTATTCCTGGTAATATTCTTTGCTCTGAAATCTGTCTGATATTGTTGTAGGTACATGAGCTTTCTTTGGATTAATATTAGCATGATGTGTATCTGTTTTATGTAAGCAGTGTATAATTGTGTCTTACTTTTTTATCCAGTCTGACAATATCTGCCTTTTAGTTGGATGTTGTGCACATTAAACATGTGATTATTGGTATGGTTAAGTCTTCTCTTGATATTTTAAAATCTGTCCTGTTATTTTTCTTTTTCACTCTCCAGCAGTTTTGAGATGTAATTCACACACTATACAATTTACCATTTTAGATTATATATACAATTCACTAGTTTTTATATTCACAGAGTTTTTCTACTATTCCTGCAGTCTAAACTTAGATCATTTCACCATTTGGAAAAAAACAAAACAAAACAAAATGGATAGTTATTAGCAGTCATGTCTCACTTCCCCCAAATATATTAGACAACAGCTAGTTTACTTTCTGTCTCTATTGGTGTGCACATTGTGGACATTTAAGAGAAATGGAATCATATAAAACGTAGCATTTTGTGATTAGCCTCCTTCATTTTAGCATAATATTTTTATTCACCCATGCTTTCACATTTATCAGAACTTCATTTCTTTTTATGGTCAGTAATAGTCTCTTGTATAGATAGACCACATTTTGTTTAGCCGTTCATCTGTTGGTGGACATTTGGATTACTTTAATCATTTGGCTCTTTGTGCTGCTGTGAACACCCATGTACAAATTTTTATTTGAGCGCCTGTTTTTAATTCTGTGGGGTTATATACTTGCAAGTGGTCTATAACCACTAGGCCGTCTGGTAATTCTATGTTT